CGATTCTGAGCTCGATTCTGAGCTCGATTTAAGCTCGACACTGCCCCAAGCGCAAAGATGCTTAAACCTATTCTCCCCCATCTTTTTTATATAAGTTACCAACCCCGAGCTGCTTGTTTGCTACTGATATAGATTGCATAACGTTCCTCCACTTTCTTTCTTCTCTCCTTCAATAAAAGTCAAGATGAACACAGATTGTGTTTCATGTGATTGTCGACCTTAATCCTTGGGGATCAAACAAACATATCCTTAGCTTCGTGCTATGTAGAAGTTGAAAATTGGGAGATGAGAGAAGTAGGTTGGTTTATTGTTCACACCAACTCATACATCAAAACCATTCTTCTTGGCTGGCTAAACTTCCATATCCGGATGGCGCACAAAATTTGTTTGATGAAACGCGTTAAAGAACTTCTCAACCTATGGAATAAGGCCTCACCATTATTGGGTTCTTGAGTTCAAAGTAAGCTGACTTGAGTTGCTGGTTGATCACTATTTACTTGTAAATTAGAATACTCCATTATATATGAAAGAAAAGAAGATTATTTGAGTAGAAGAAACAGTGCTTAATACTTAACATCTCTTCCGGAATCCATCACCTTTGTACTTGGTTTCGAAAGCAACTGGTTTCTGGGACTCCTCTTTGCTCATCGGATAACCAGCTGGTGGCGCAGTCACATAGGGTTCTGGTGCAGTGGATGTTGACAGTGTTGAGTATGCAACTTATGGATCGTTCAAAAAGAACTAAACCATGTTAATATTGTTGGGTTTTCCAAATAAAATTGGGTTAATTATGAAGTTGGTCATCAGAATATCAGATTAATTAATATTTTTAAGATACTTACAAATTGGTCACCAAAATTGATTTAAGAAGATTGGGTTAAACATAAATGAATGAACATAAACGAACATAATCGAATGAATATAAACGAACATAACCGAACGTTCATGAACGTAAATGAACAAACGAGACCTATTTTCATGTTCGTTCATTTAATTAAACGAACACAAAATCTTGTTCATGTTCGTTCATTTAATAAATACACGCACATAAACGAACTTCCCGCCGCACGGTTCATGAACGGTTCGCTGAACGTTCAGTTCATTTACAGGCCTAACTGAAGTTTCAAAATAAACAAATGAATCACTAGCATTCTCAATTTGTAATAAATCGAGACGTTATTAAGATGATGTTTGTTTTTACTGTGTAAGGTCTCAATTTATTACATTGAGCTTCGCAGACCGTTTGTTTTTTAGAAGACAGAAGCTCTTCTAACGTCTGCGCGTGGTCTGCACGGCGCAGACGTGACCTTATGTTTGTAGACGTCTTCTAACCTCTTCAAAGAGGTTTATATTTAATTTATATATATTATATTTGATTTTAATTTTAATATTAATTTTTTAATAAATTAAATATTAATTTTTAATATTATATTATAGATATTAATTTTAAAATTAATTTTTTAAATAAATTAAATATTAATTTTTAAATATATTATAGATATTTAATTTTATCATATATATTTTATATATTATTTAAATTTTATTTATTTTAATTATTTTGATTTAAGTTTAAATATAATATTTTTTGGATTTGTTATTTTTAAATTATATTTAAACTTTTTATACAAAATGTAAGTATTTAAATCACGATGCTTAATAAAAAATGATTTCATTGTTTGATAATTAAGATTTTAAATATAAAAAAATTATAAATTATGTTTTTAAAATTTTAAAATATAATCACAATTAAATAAAAATAATCATAAAATAATTTTATAAATTAAAAAATTTTTTCTAAAAATATCATATAATTATAAAATAAAAATATATATTTAAAAAAATTAAAAGTATTACATAATTGCATATTTAAATAGAATCATATAATTTAATGATCATTTATAAATTTTATTCTATAAAACTTATAAAACTAATAATACATGTGATTATGTGAAACTTATAATAGAATTAATAAGGTGTTGTTTGTTTTTCTAAAAAATTTATTATTGTAGTTGTATGAATTATTTAAATTTCAGTATTGTAAAACTAAAATTATTTAAATCTCAGTATTGCAAAACTCTTTTAAGTTTAAAAATCAGTTTATTTATATTTCAGTTTATTTTAGCAGTCTGCAGACGTTAAAAAACAAACAGTTCTTCTTGCAGACTGCAGACTTTTGGTCCACCTCTTCTGCTGCAGATGCCTGCAGATGTGGTCCGCAGACTGCAGACCTTTTACCTCTGCAAAAACAAACACCACCTAAGATAAACATAATGATGACGTGGACTGTTAAATAAGCTGATTTCAAACAAACCCATCTTGTATGGTAATTCGCCATAATTTCACGAAAAGAAAATGCCTCTGTACATCCGACTCTCACTCAAAAAGAGAGAATTTTTTATCATTAAATCAAAGCTTTGATTTGATAAAATGTCGTCTCCAAGAAAATAAGATTCTGAGTCTTTTTATTCCCTTATTTTCCCTCTCATTTTGTGGCTACATTCATGTGACAATCTCGCAATATTCAAACCTTCATCATCAATATTGTTATTATTTCCTGCATGATTTCTAAGAATTTATCGATAACTAATCCATGCATTTTTTATTATTTAATTTCATTTCAATGTTCTGGTAAATTGCATTTTTCTCTTGGTTATCTTGTGTAGATTATCCAGAGAATACAAATCAAAGAACATGATATCAGTACTTAATATAATGGCCTTTTGTCCATTTTCATTTTCATGTTATTGCCTTCGATAACGTGTTTTGATCATTGCTTATCCTCTGATTATTTTGATTCCAAATTCTACAAATCTCTGTCACAAATTTCTGCACTCTCTTTACTTGTAATTACAGAGTTAGATATGAAGTTCAGCTGAAGTAGGGTGGTGGATTTTCTCTGGGGAAGATTTTTGGAGCTCTTTATTGTTGATGCGTATTGGACACAACTTTTACGGGAAAATTGTTATTGGAGAATATGAAATGAGTTTGTTTGGAATCGATGCTGTTTGAAGATTGAGTCATGGGTTTTGGGGGATTGAAGCTGTAAAGAAGAAGAAGGAGACGACAACGACGACAATGTTGAATGATATTTGACTGATTATTTTGACCATTGGACAGCAAGTTACCTTATTTAAATGTCCACCTCATCATTTCATTACTTTAGTAACGTTAAGTGACCATTTGTGTAGTTTACCCTTAAAGAAACAGTGGCACGTCTGACCCGCGCAAGTGTTCTTATTTAATGGGATATTCTCACTTTTGGTCTTTGTTCCTTCGTACATTTCGTTCGTTTATTTTTCATCTTTATTTATTGTTTCACCCTTTTAAGTTTTTTATTTATTTCAAGATCATCCTTAAATTTTGGTATTTATTTAATTTTGTGTGATTTTCATTTATGCCATTTACTTACTGTTTTTACATTTCTTCCTTTAACTTTATGCTATTTATTTTTCTGCCCAATTATTTTTCATATTTATCTATTTACGCACTGTGATTTACATTTAGTTTAGTCCTGTTTTAATAATGGTTGCATTATTTGAGTTTCGCTAATTTTTTTTATTTATATTTCATCACCCTTTATTTCCGCAATTTATGTTTTAGTATTTCAAATTCCAGCCTTATATTTAGCATTTAACTCACTTTGTTCCTTGGTTATTCATTTGTGTTCCTCAATTTTGACCTGCAGTTTTTGCATTTATTTCATTTTAACCCATATTATATTATACATGTTTATGTACGTAATATGTATGTGTCCATCTTAAAATCGACTTGACTAAAAAATTTTCAAGTTAAGTTCGAGTTCTAAAATACAACTTGTCAACTCGAATAACTTAAAAGAAATTTATTTGACTCGATTGAATACTCACCACATCTCTAATTTTTTCCTATATATATATTAATTTTATTAAGAAAAAAACAAAAAAAATCATAAAATATATATATTTTTAATACATTCATTTAAAAGTATGGTAAAATATACAAATGGTCCCCGATTATATAGTGTTGTTTTATTGAGTTTTTGATTATTAAAAATTATAAAATAGTACCTCAATTATATGATATTGTTTTGTTGAGTCATCGACTATTAAAAGTTACAAAATGATAACCTAATTATTCATTTATTACAAACTCATCATTTTTGTTATAACCTAATTATTCATTTATTACAAACTCATCATTTTTGTTAATAAAATTGACGACCGTCTGAGTTGAAAATTAACATGATGATCGGGATATAATAAAATCATATTTTAAGGATGTTTACTGGCACTGTTATTGCTTTGGAACACTTGTTTGATAACATAATGTTTCAAACACTGACTCGACGACATAATATAAATCGAGAGTTGATCCACAAAATACATATCAAACGATTTTCAGATCATATTTTATCATATCCCAACTGAACATGTTAATGTTCAGATTAGACTACCACCAACTTTAACAGAAAAAGGATGAGTTTGGAAGATATGAATAGTCAGGTGACTATTTTGTAACTTTTAATTATCAAGAGACTCAACAAAGTAACGTCTTATAGTTAAGAAATCATTTTATAATTTTTAATAATTGAGAGACTCAAAAAGTAATATCTTATAATCAGGAGATCATTTGTGTACTTTACCTTTAAAGTAAATAATTACATTGGGTATATAGCTGTAGTCCATGTGATTCGGGTCCTATTAAAGCCCAAAAACAAAAACACATATGCCCAAAATTGGTCCGAATGTGAACCCAAGAAACAAAGAACTCTAGGTCTCTAGCCGTCGGAAGGAGAAAAAAAGGACGATAGTTGGACCAAGGACGAGAACATCATCGGATAGACTTAGAAAATCGATGTCGGAAGACACCATCGACGGACCTTAAATTAAATTTATGTCATTATTTGATTTACCAAGCTGGGCCACGTAAGATATCCATCTCCTTTACTTTTGAAAATGATTGTATGGTTCCATTATTTTTACCCAACAAAATGATAGCGTGATTACTTTTGGTACACACAAATTGTTTGAAAGAGACATTTCCCAATCCTTTTTCTTCCATAACTAAACTGTCTCGTCTTCTCTCCGATTTTTCATCTCCTTCATGAATCAGACCCACCAAGGTTAGCTATTTTTCCCCTGTGTAATTCTATACAATTCGATCTGGGTTTTCTGTTTGCATGCTGGGATTTGTAATTCTTTTTGGAATATTTTTAAACGCTTCGAAAATTATAAATTTATTGGCTTGTTCTTTTTCATCTGGATATTGATAATTTCATTTGAACTTTGTTCCTGGGCTTTTGTGTAAGATATATTATATATGATTTGGTTTCTATTTGATCAGTTAATTAATGTGTTTTTCATGCATTTGTCTCTTAGGAACGTTTTGAAATGCTTTGAAGAATCTAAATTACTGTACTTTTCTCCCCACATCTGCATCGATGATTTCAATTGAGTTTTGCTCCTGGCCTGTTGTAGAGTAGTTTGATTATGTAAAATTATTTTTATTTTTCTTTAATTTCCATTCTGCATGTTACTTGATGAATTATTTTCATGATATTTTTATATACATATGTATGCACATTCTTTTGTGGTCCTAAACATGTAATGTTCATGCGTGTACGTGTTTTCCTCCTCTTGCTGTTTTTTGTGATTTTTTTAATGTAGTATAAATTGATTGTATCCTTTGATCTTTTTGTCATTGATTTAAGGTTTCAGCATCTTGATTTGAAGTGAAGCTTCTGGATTTGTTTGATTAGAAGGAGCTTACTTTCAATACAGTGCCTTTTATTTGATTAGCATCATGTCGATGGGAACTATGGAGACAGTTGGACACGTTTTTTCTGGGGCTGCACCTCAGTTTTTAAGTAGTGATCTGTTTTCTAGCAATTTGGATTCAGTATTTTACTCTAGATGCCATATTAAGTCTGCGGAGAAAAAGGGCCCAAGGTATTTGCGGTCCTTGAAGTGTTCAAGTATGTCGGGATGTCAAATAGGAAGCTATAGGTGTAAGCGACTAGGTGGTGGTTTATATAGGGATACAGCAATTGACAGATTGAAGCTTCTTAGTTGCAAATGCCAGCAGGCTGAAAGTGTGGGTGGAATAGATACAGATGAAGGAAATGCTGCGTGGTTTGTGGATAGTGCAAAGAAATTTAATCTTAATGGTTCAATAAACTCGCAAAACAATCTGGAGTTCGAGGATATTGAGAAATTGAAGAGGGAAAACAAAGTCTCAATGTCAAATGATAAAACTGGAACAGGGACAAGCACCTTTGCGGCAGCTAGTGTAGATTCTATCGAGGAAGAAGCGTGGGAGTTACTGCGTGCTTCCATGGTTTATTATTGTGGAAGTCCTGTAGGAACTATTGCTGCCAATGATCCCACATGTTCCAATGTGTTGAATTACGACCAAGTCTTTATTCGCGACTTCATACCTTCTGGTATTGCTTTTCTGTTAAAAGGAGAGTATGAAATTGTTCGGAACTTCATACTTCACACACTTCAGTTACAGGTAATTTCATATCCACTAGTATGATTATTGTATTGACAATTTCTGATGGTAATTTTACTTTTTGGTGTATCTTTCGATGTATTGATAAATTATTTCTTCACTTCTGATTCCTTTACAAGGACAACTGAGTGCCTTTGTGTGTTTACTTAGGATCAAAGCAAAAATTGTCCTAGCAAGTTTGGGTCAGTCTGCCAACACCATTATATGGCGACTGTTTCTTCTTTAAGTTGATTCTCTTTAAGTTTGATGATTATTTTTCATTATTAAATTTCATGATGATTAATTCATTTGTGATTCACTTTTCTTTCTTACTGCCTAATCATTTCCGGTATATATCTATAAGTGGTTCACATATTCCTAAAGCTTTGTTTCCTTGCTGGTTACACCCATAGTAGAAAGCAGGTACTTCTCTACTTAGCACTACTAGGTGAAATAGATTTGCCAATTGACTTTTCCTATAGATAAAGAAATGTCTGGTGACATAAGCACTTCGATGCTGCTTCTGCCGTTGAGGTTATTTACCTCTTATCTTCCTATATTAAGTTAGTATTCAATAGCAACGGAGGGTATAGAAATAGCTAAAGTGAGTATAAATATGGATTTAAACATGTTGATATCTATGATCATGTAATCTTTTAATTGATAGCATGATCAGTATCATTAAAGGATTCAGCTCTAATGGTCTTGCTTTTATTATGGTCAATATTATGTCAAAATTTGGTTCATGTAGCAAAATGAACTCTTCTTTTAAGTGGCCGTGGATGAGAACAATTAAAAATGTAATTCCACATGTGTAAACTTCTTGTGTTGGAACCACTGTGACAACTCATATATGCAATAATATCAAATTGAGATGTGGGATAGGTTCCCTCTTCATCTGTGTACGTGCGGTTCTCGACATGCATCTGGATCTATATGCATTCGACAAATTTGTGTGTAAAGTTGTTTGAATTTGTGTCCTACTAATATATAAACTCCTTGGTTTTTTCCTTATATTTTTTAATTTATTGAATACTTGCTCGTAGTAGAGTTGGGAAAAAACAATGGACTGTCATAGCCCTGGTCAGGGACTGATGCCTGCAAGTTTTAAAGTGCGCACAGTTCCTCTTGATGGTGATGATTCAGCAACAGAGGAAGTATTGGATCCCGATTTCGGAGAGGCAGCTATTGGCCGTGTTGCACCTGTTGATTCTGGTAAAAAATTAAAAAAGTCTAGAAAGAGTTTCTATTTTATATTTCATTCATTGGAATGCTTTGCTACAATGAACAACCTCTTTCAATTGAAGGATTGTGGTGGATTATATTATTACGAGCATATGGCAAATGTTCGGGCGACCTTTCAGTTCAGGAGAGAGTTGATATCCAAACCGGAATCAAGATGATTCTGCGGCTGTGCCTTGCTGATGGTTTTGATATGTTTCCTACATTGTTGGTTACTGATGGTTCTTGTATGATAGATCGCCGCATGGGAATTCATGGACACCCTCTGGAAATTCAGGTAAATGAAAAATAAGTTCTAGAACAACTTTGCCTTTTGGCACTTGGTTTTTTCTTTATAAAAGTTCCTATGGGATAAAATATAAAAACACTATAGTTGGAAAGTTGCATTTATTTTATTTCAAGAAAATGTCCTTCAAAATTTGTTCCGAGAATTGCCATAAATACCTGGCTTCCCTTTGATTTTTGTCGCAAGTTGGTTGAGTTTACGGATAGTGTGTTTACTTTGATGTGCATGGATTGGTGACATTTAGAATAAAAAATTTACATTCTTTGTATGCATGAGGAGTTTAAATCAGTGTGAAAATGAACCTGATATTCAGATGATTTTGCATTCCTGTAGTCACTTTTCTATTCAGCATTGTTATGTGCACGTGAAATGCTTACTCTGGAGGATGGATCAGCTGATCTTCTTCGAGCATTGAATAACCGTCTGGTTGCTCTGTCATTTCATATCCGAGAATATTACTGGATTGATATGAGAAAGCTTAATGAGATTTACCGTTACAAGACTGAAGAGTATTCATATGACGCCGTTAATAAGTTCAATATTTATCCTGATCAAATCTCTCCTTGGTTGGTGGAATGGATGCCTAATAAAGGAGGTTACCTGATTGGGAACTTACAACCAGCTCATATGGATTTTCGATTCTTTTCTCTTGGAAATTTGTGGGCTGTTGTAAGTGGTCTTGCAACAACCACTCAGTCGCATGCAATATTGGATTTTATTGAAGCTAAATGGACGGATTTGGTGGCAGAAATGCCATTTAAGATCTGTTACCCAGCCCTTGAAGGTCAGGAGTGGCAGATTATTACAGGCTGTGATCCGAAGAACACGTAACATATTTCCCTTAAGTATAATAATTTTCTTATTTTTTATCGGCATCAGCATTTTAATTGCATATTTGTTTAATGCAGGCCTTGGTCTTACCACAATGGTGGTTCCTGGCCGACTCTACTCTGGCAGGTTAGTAATGGTGGCATTCATTTAATTTCTCTAAATTTCATTGTTAACATCCGGTTCTTAGGTTTGCATTCAAGGTCTCGAAATTTTGAGGGTTTTCAGGCTTCCCTATGTAATTGTAGATGACCATCGAAATTATAGATATTTCTATATATCAGGAAAATTGTTGATGCTGTGTATATTTGGTCGAACCGTGGCTCAATTTGTAGATACCAGTCTGGCTGACGTTTAGCTGTAGGTATTGTTGCATTATTTATTATGTTTAGAATATTTATAGCTAATATTAAAAGATATTATATCGAAGAAAGATGGTTGTTTTGGGTGTAAGCTTTGCAATCAATGGATGAAACTCTGATACTCAAATCCCATCATACAGTTCGCAGTTGCATGCGTGAAGATGAATAGACCTGAGATTGCTGCAAAAGCTGTTTCAGTTGCTGAGAAACGGTTATCCAGGGACAAATGGCCCGAGTACTATGATACTAAAAAAGCAAGGTTCATCGGAAAACAATCGAGACTGTTCCAAACCTGGTCTATTGCAGGATATCTTGTGGCAAAACTTATACTCGCGGACCCGAGTGCAGCGAAGATTTTGACAACCGAAGAGGATTCCGAGCTCGTCAATGCCTTCTCCTGTATGATCACCGGTAACCCGAGAAGAAAACGCGGTCCAAAGAGTTCCATAAAGACGTACATTGTGTGAGGTAACCGAGTTGTGTGCCTAATTGATTTATGGTTACATTTTCATCTTCTCTAATGGCCATAATTTGGAATTGGCTGTTGAAGCTAAATAGGTGGTGCAACCACCAGATTCATGTACCCGAATACTTCGGTAAAGATCGTTTCTCTGACTTAGGGTAATAGTTGTTATACTTCTATGGACAATCGATTCATTTGTCGAGCTGTCGTATTAGTGTATATGTACTGAATCTCTGTCAAAGACTTGATTGTAAATCATAAGAGCATTACACATATGGAGTTGTTCTTCATGACTATGACACTGATGTTTTTGGATGTTGAAATTTGAGACAATGGATGGTAGTATTAGAGTAATATGCAATATCCTGTTGACTGATGGATGGTAGTATTAACACGCGAGATGTTGGCCTGGCCCGGTATAGAATCAGTTCAACCGGTAACAACTTGGACTAAATATTAAAATTTTAGAAAGGACTCAACTAAAAATATTAAAAAATATTTTTTTTGAAGAGACCAAACAAAAATAAAATAAAATATTGATTTTTTAATCGCAAGTGGATCTTATTTCTGTATATATTTTAAGCGAAGGCTTGTTAAGAATCAAGATTCAGTTATTTTTTTAACCACACTAAATTAATTAAAATTTCAAAAACCAATAAAAATTTAATTTTAAATGGAAAACATCCAAGTTAAATACAAATTAATCTAATTAAAAAACTTATAATAAATTTGCATTAGTTTAAAAAGTTACTAAACTAATCAAACTTTATTCGATTTAGTTAATAATTTTTTAAAAACAATTCAATTTACTTAATAATTAAAAAAATTAATTAATTTTATTTGACCTAATTCGGTTCGATGTAACATCTTATTCATGGCATCAGCCTCCAATTCAGAACAACAATCTGGAAGCAACCAAAACGAATATAAAGCTGATAACTTTATGAAAGAACAAACTTAAAAACATAGGTTAAAAGCGTATTTGAAGACCACATCTTTAAAGAACAAGTTTTATGGTTGTTAACTAATCTTCATGATTAATATAAACTACAGTTCAGTTTATTGGACATGATTAAGAGTTAGAATTCAACTATATCTGAACTGAAAATAAGTTTCCATTTTAAATTTAGTAGATAAAAATCAATTTAAAATAAAATATTTTTTATATTTTATATAAAAAACGAATCCAGCCAAAATCAAATATGGGCATATAAAATTTCACGAATCAAACGACTTCGATGGTAAAGTAATTTTTATTATTTCCTAAAGTCTCGGATTCGGACACTAAAAATATCAAAGGTGTGAACGATTCAATATCAAACGATAGAGGGTTATTTATAAACATGGGCCAGATGAAGATGGTGGAACACGTGTTCATAACATAACGGTTATAGAAGGGGTTCTTGCAATTCACGCGTCACTGCAGCAAAGGCTGTTTCACAGTAAAACAGGCAAGAGGAGGGAAGAACAAATGGCGGCAAAAGAAAACCATCCGAGAAATATAGAAAGAAAATTCAAAACCTAAAAAAGGCAAGAAAAAGATAAATAATGGTTATTATTATTATTATTATCTGGAATCTGCACCTCCACTGGTCCACCTATTATTTCCTTTTCTGTGTAACCGTTTTTATGATATCAATGAAGGTTGTTGATATTCAGTCTTTTTTTATTCAGCCTTTTTTCTGGTATATGTTTCGAGGTTGTTCTCGATCAAATTTTTGTTGTTTTTGCCCTAAATCATCTGGCAATCCTTATTTGTTGAGATATTGGAGGAAATTAATAGTCTATGGTTCATTTTGTTCCTATGATCTCTTAAACCTTGTTTAATGATTTGCTGTTTGGTTTCTGAGAAATTGGGAGCAAAGATAGAAGAAAGCGAACTGAAGGGTATAAATTCTAAGATTCCTTTTTATTTTTTTTCCTCAAATGTTCTAATATCTTTCAAATGTATCCATTTCGCCTTAAGATTAATCCATGTTTTGATGGTCAGAAAACGCACAAGAAAAAAAATGAAATGAAAGTACTTCTGAGTTTAATATCTAAGATAGCTTTTGCTTTTTTAATGTTGTATGATATACTGTAATGGGTTGAATACTGCTTTCGCTGCTGATAAATAGAGGAAATTTGTAGATGAAGTAAATTGTTAAATCTAATATCCCAAGTACTTTTGTGATATTCTCTGTGTTTGTCGATTGTTTGTTAAACAAATGTTCGAATTGATATTTATGTTGAATCTTTCATTTACGATTTTAACTTATTTAATATGTGCTTCTTGTGCGATTTTTGGACAATTGCTTTGATGGATAAGAATTTATGCATACGTGCATGCGAGATGCGTCGTATCAACTTTTGTTATCGCCGATGCATTCAATGATTGTGTGTATATATAAGGCTTTGCTGAAGTCCAGTAGAGGTATTTGCAATCATTGTAGGAGTTATACTTGGTGGTCACAAGTTGCTTTTGATTTTTGTTAGCTTTCAGAAAATATTTTTGCTGATGAAAAAGTCTTATGAATTCAAGAGTAGATTTATTATGTTTTGTTACTTGAAAATAAGTTTGCATGCACGAGTCAAGTGAATCGAAGTTTATACCCTGCTTTTCGTTTGATGCTCATATAAAGGGTTAGGAACTTAGGATAACTGTTGAGCAACAATGCTTTAACTGCAGTTTGAATTAGGCTAAGCAACAATGATGATATAGAAATTGACAAAACTTCATTATGTGTGCGTATATATAATATTACTTTTAGTTTGTTGTTTTCGAGTGTACTTATATTTGCACGCAAAGTTGCTTGATTTTCTTTAATCTTTGACCATCATTTCAATTTTAATGCAGAGAAGCTGCTTGAAGACGGCGTTGTATATGGCATTCAAGCTCTATGAGGTAATGAACTAATTACAAGTTCTCAACTCTTAAGCAAGCTTTTGCGTATTAGCTTTTAATCTTGAACTTTAAGTTCCTGAAAATTTTCCTTGTGTCGAATGTCAATAGGGAAAAAAGCTAGAAAAATGAGAACGTTTCAACCTTTCTGGCAAACTTTAATTCTTAAAACCTGTGAGTACACATATGATTGTCAGAGCCATCGGTATCATATTTGGTTATCATTTTAGTTTTATAAGCATCATGTGATTGTTCGAGCCAGCATTAACCTACGTGGATATCGTTTTAGTTGTTGTTTAGTTGGAGAAGGTGATTATATGTTGATGGAATTGGTTTAAGGTGATTATATGTTGATGGAATTGGTTTATTCTTCTGGATACATCAATAAAGTAGCAATTATTGTCTTCTGGATACAACAATGAAGAAATTAAGAGATAAGAAAGCTTTTTATGCCTTAGGTTCACCAGTATATGACATTTACTATAATTTTACCATATTATAAGCACAAGGTATTTCAAGGCTTGTTGAAATATTAACCATTTGAAGGGTTAATTCTTGTTTTCTATTTTAGTATCGATATGTAATGCTTATGTATTGGCATGAAAACAACATGAAAATTAATATGAACATGATATAATACATGATTGTCAAAATTTATATAACACTAAGTCCAACATGTCAAATACTTCAAAAGCATGCAACATCTGAAATACAATTATGACATGAAAAATAACATGACACTACACGTGGCATAGATACACAAGTTGCCATGTCTTGAATGTATTATGGATTGGAGCATTAGTAGGAAGAATTATTTCTGGCTATTTATTGAAAAATGGCTCTCTTTAGAGCATGAATTAATATAACAATCACAGTTTTGATAAATTGACAGACTACATTAATCCCACTTACCATGGGTTAAAAATTTCACTAATAAAAGTTCTTTTTTCTGTGCTAACATGGATGGATGCATCTCATGTTATAGAGAAAGAACAGTTGTGTACAACAATATGTTAGTAAAAAAATTTCTTCTCTGCTACTCTGCAAATTTTTCTCTGCTAACTGGTTGGCTATTGTAGTTACCTTTATGGATTGGCACTAGCTTGTACCTCTTGGTAACAATCATCTCCGTATGATGGCTGGTTCATTTCTTGTTTTCAGTCTTCATCTTGGGCAGCTTGCTCGCAGGAAAGTGCAACCTGGCCATAAGGGGCCGGGGTGCTCTTGTTTTTTGGTCAAATCCCCTTACACAAACAAACCCTGCAAATTATGTCAGTTAAAAGGATCATGGGTGAAAGCATGATAAATCTTCAATACTTGCATAATCATCATCCATCCTAGTTCTTAAAAGTGTGAAATGTTTTTCAACTGAATCTCCTTGCGTATTAATTGCAATGCTTCTGGAAGGACTTTGAACTAGGAATGTTTTACAATAGCTGTATTCTTCAATGCATAACTTTTTTTTGGTGTTCAAAATGTTAAAAAAAATACAAAACCTGGTTTTCTAGTTGGAAATATTTTGGTTAGTGTGTGTTGTAATAAATAAACAAATTTCCCCCCATTTCTATATGTGTGTCTAATGAGAAGCTGATGTTTGTTGCATGCATATATGATAAATAATGAAAATTAAGATTTCATACCTTTCCAAAAGCAGTACTGAATTCCCTCAGTTGAAAGTCCTACTAGACAAAGATTAGTTCTGTAAGTAACCTTTTTCCTTTATTACTGATCTGCGACAACAATCTTAATGTTCAAAAGCTTGGTGGGTAGTTTCTTACCTTTGAATATTGATGACACAGATGTTCCAAAGTATACCGTTCGTCTCGGTAAATTCCAGATCCATCCCCTTGGAACGTCGATTGGGTCAAGGCTTGATTCATGATCTGCAAAGACCTGTGTGGTAATAACAGATTAATCTTATAAGCATCTAATTGTTAAATAAATTATATGTTCTAGGGATGTATGAATCAATAAAAAGTTGGTTCCTGAATACTGAAAGATATTCTATATTTTGTCTAGGATATAGTTCTATGTTTTGGTTTCCTGGATCCTACTTTACCCCTTTATTCTAACTTCTGAGTCTTCTAAGAATCAGAATTGTCGATAGCTTGAACAAGATTACCTCATTAACTTGAAAATACGTCCCATTTAGGGGAAAGCTTCCTCTCATTGCAGTTCTACAAGGTATCTGTGCAAATTGTGACGCTAATATTAGTTAGGAATCTTGGAGGTATTTGAGTATTTTGCTTCCATAACATTTATATACATGTAAATCTTTCTCACCAAGATGGTTCCTCGGACTGTCTCAGCATTAGTTTCTCTTACGCTATTGCAAGCAAAGCAGGTCTTCTCACTGCACAATCTTCCTCGTTCCTGGGATCCACAACTTTGTTCTGTTGGTTGAAATGAGTGTGCAGTTTCTCCTATTAAATGAATGTTTAGAGAAGCACAACTAATTATTTTGTAGTTCAAATGATCTCTTTCACTGACACTATTCAATGTGTAGTTTTAACTCTAACTATGATGCCATATCTTTTTAACACAATGGCTATCTATGGTGTGATCTTAACATTGTATGCTATTTACAGAAGTATTTTATAAATGGCATGAGTAGCTTTGTGCTTATCTCTCAGCCTGCTTTATATAGATTGACATTCTGAGTTTTGTTCTTACCCGGTGTCCATATAGCTAGAAGATAGGGGCTAGGATCATCAGGTTCCCGCTTTTTCATCTATAATATTGTAAAGAAGGAAATTAGAATAGTATGTTATGCATTGAAGTCTCAAAATTTCAATGAACTTACGAATAACTTACCTGTGTCAAGAGAGGATGCGTATCTGGAAGCTCATATCTGCATCATTGCAGCTATTTATCAGAATGTGATGTATTTTCTTGCTCATGGTAGATACTATAAATTACTGATTAATTGTCATCAAAACTCTGTGGTCTAAATATTTTTCCCTCTATACCCTCAAGTCTATTTTTTAAAGCAATTTCCAAGTGTGGCCGTAGTCCAATTTTTAGATCTGAAAGTTAGGTTGCCTGAGCACTTTTTATCTAGAGTGTATTCCACTGGTACATTGGTTGGGTTAATGTAGCCTTTTTGACCATTATATTAACAGGTTTATCCATGATCATAGGTTGGTATTTGGTACTTCGGTTACATAATGATGAGAGAAATATCCACTTACACATAGTGTTCTGTTCGTAGCCTGCTCACATTCTTCAGTTTTGGAGTAGAGATAGAAGCAGCTTCAGGATTCAAAGCTACTAAAGCCTTTGACAAGTCTCCTTCTTGGAGTTCCATATTCTCCTGCATGTAATGCTGTAGGTTTGCTGTAAACTCTTCCATGTTCAGTTTTATTGTGGGAATTTCATCAGGATCCTCATAGAATGCATCTTCAATATCGCTCTGTGTTACTTCTGTGTGCTCTAGTTCTGGTGTTGCCGGCTCTTCAATGATAGGTTCACTGTTGCCACCATTAGACCCTACTTTAAGCAAGTTATGCACAGGTGGAGGTAATGGAATTTGATTCACGGCTCCCATAAGATTTCCCTCCGGCATCATTGGAGCACTAGGACTTGCTATACTTTTCTCTTCAGGCCCTGGTAGTGCGAGCCTTGCACTGCATGGAAGAAAGTTGACACAAGCGTGAAACATAGTGTTCAAGCTTTCAGAGGCCAAGGTAGGTGACTTTAAGAGTATCTGAACTTTTTTTTTTTTACCTTTTTCATTAATTCCTTCTAAGTTGTCTTCTTTTGTTCTGAAGGTGAATGTGTTGCTTTTTACAAAGATTTGAAGCTATGTACACTTATTTTTTTTATGACTTCCTTGAAAGCTTGTTGGCACCTCACTTTGTGTTTTTTTTTATGTACACTTATTTTAAACATAGTGGAAAGAAGCATCTACACTATTGGGAATCTCATAGGTTTAAGACAGATCCTTTTTGATTAATAGTGAACTATCTTTGACTCCCCTTATGTTTAAGACAATTAATATTTTCCACATCAATTGGATGCCTATGACACAATTCAGGGCCATGTTAATTATCTGTGATTTTAGATCTCAGTAGATGTCTTTTGGAATGACTTTGTGAATACCAAATTAAATAGTAAATTTACAGCAGTTATTTTACTTGGATGCTCTAAGATCTATATTGCTTTAAGTAACGAAGATAAATGTTGAATCATGAATGCCAATAGAAGTTGAAGCTACTTGCTTGGCATGTTTTCAGACTGATGAGCAAATATATATACAGGCTCATGTAGACAACAAAAGTAAAACATCAGTAAATGATTATTAATCAGTAACTGAGCAAAGAAAACTTTAAAGACTTAGATTCTGATATTAATGCTTCTGTCTGGAAATTCAGATGCATGCTGATGAGCGGTACCTATTTCTAGCTTACTGAGTTATCATGATATTATAAAGACAAGATGGCAATAGGTTGGACACTAACCTTGCAAATGCACTTGCAAAGTGCCTGCACTCCCCTCTCATTGGACATGCATTGCAATTTGGTTTACTCTTTGTGCAGAAAACCTACATAACATGTTAGTGCATGAACATACTGATGCTCTTAAAGGCCTTCAAAATATGATTCTAATTTCTGAAGCATTGATGTAAAATTTAACCTAATGGAATACCTTTCCAAATGTAATCATTTGATAATGTAGTTCATACCTGTACCAATAGTGCATAAATCAGTAATTTTTTTATGAATAGACATTTATCTAAAGATGGGTTATGAGGTTACAATGTTGTCTGATCAAGTCTGCATAATCTTGGCCACAGATATTTTTGAATCGACTCTAGTATTGGGTACCTAAGACGAACATGTTAGCATCTGTGAGCAATGAAGCAATGCGGGAAAAAAATGAGGTTGGCTACTTAAATATCTAATACTCACAATTCTAGGAGATGCAGCTGTAGTGATTCGGGCAGCGGTTGTAGAGGAACCCATCCTAGCCGAACTGCTATTCGTCCAACATTTGTGTCAACCTTCAGAAAATGTAAATGTTGGAAACTATATGAGTGGTTTTGATGATCTTGTCAAACTAGAATTGTAAGTAAAGTCGAGTCTTACTGGAAAAGCAAGATGGTGAAGGGTTAAAAGCCGAACACACTCCACACTTTTCAGCCCCAATCCCCATATGCTTAAAAGATAATCCCTGCAGCATAAGCAATTTTAAGATGCATTGAACGTTAACATCAGAGATGCAGGAGATCAGTGATTATTCAATCTGGATTAGTTGATGCCATGAAGATTTTTGTTTTTTATAAAGATGATAACTATAATGTTGAAGAATTAACGGTGAACTTTGAGATGGCTTACTTTGCTTTACCAGGTGGAACATCTCTTAGCCACTCCAGATCAATTCTTTTATGCTCTCTAACCAGCCGGTCCAAGAAGTCCTGCAAAATTTTCAAGTGCTTCTGAATATGAAGTAAAGGTTTCGCAATAAATACTACTGGAGCTGCTCCTAGCTAAGATCAGTTCCTTAGAAACTGAATTCATTTTACATGCCTTGATTCGTTCTGCCAACATGTTGTTCATCCCTCTTTCTTTGATGGTGTTAGAAATGTCATCAACACTAGCTTTTCTCATTGCTTCGTAATCCATGGAATCCATAGTATCTTTGCTTCTTTCTTTTTCTAAACCATTGGCTTGCACCTGCTTCCTTAACTGGTCCCAGTCAGTTGCATTATTTTTCTCTTCCTGAGCCTTTCTTCTCTTGGGCTTTAAGCTGCTGTTTTCTCCATGCTGATTTTCAGAAGAATGCATTAGTTCCTTTGCATCAGATTGAACCTCTCTGCTTTCTATAGCTTTTCCCTTAGCCAAATCAGTCATTCTTTCAACATCAGTCCTTTCTGTGAGTTTGACGGCCTCTGCAGCAGACAGTGAGGTACTTTTAAGCATCTTAGTGAATACATCAGTGGTTGGAGGCATTGTGACTGATGCACTTTCTGATTGGAAGGTCTTCTTCCCCTTTTCTTGATGATTGTTGCAAAGCTGATTACTTTTAGTATGAACTTCTTGTTGGTGCACCATGTGCTCACCTGATAAGGTACTGAAGGCTGTTGTGGCCGTATTTTGATTTACTGGTTGTCCATTGTGTTGGACTGTGATTTTACCTCCACTATGATAAGGTAGTTTTGGCTTGTTGAACCCAATACCAGTTGAATCCCAGGAAGACATGCACTCTTCACTGAAAGGTTCAAGGCCCTCTTCTTGCCATGTTTCAGACTCCAAAGTTATGTGTAGTGGATGGCTACTCACTCCAAACGCTTTTTCTAGTTGACTTCTAAAATAGCTATCTTGATTGAATGAGGAAGACCATTTGAGATTTTCTGTTCTTTCCAATCTTGGTGCCTGCCCCTCTTCTGTAACTTCTGATTGTTTATATTTTAATCCCTCATGAAACAGTGAGCTCCTATTTGCGAAATAGTAAAATTCCTCAAATGAGGCACTGTTTTCTATCTGGTCAGGAGTTGAACCATGAATGTTGCGTAGCTTGCATCTCATACTAGGATCTTCTGTTTCTGAGTAGGTTCTGAATCCTCTGTTTGCTTGAATAACTGAGGACTCAAAAGAACCTTGTGATGATAGCACTTCTTCCTCCAAGCTCAGACCATACGTTCCAGTGAAGCTTGTTCTCTTTACACCTAAATACTCACTGTTTCTCAGGTAATCTGTTGACCTGTAGGGAGTCATGGAGCTTTGGCTGTCAAGTTGACAACTGAATGGCATTTCATGCCATTTGATGGTTTCACCTGGATTCAATTCACGGACTTCTGGTTCTTCGATTAGTATTTTTACCCCATCTGCATTGCAGTCTGTCTTTCTTGATGACTTCAAAGGAAACTTTGCTGCCAGAGACATGAAGGCAGAGCTGCACGGAGGAAGGTGGGAAGAAATTATTTGTACTTTCAGTTTTCATGTTTATTTGTACCAGTATGATCACAGTAACTTACCTTGAAAGGTGGTCTGAAACATTTTGGGTTAGGAAGACTCCTATTACAGAATCTACCACAGATCCCTTCCATATTGAGAAGCGCCTATCTCCTGCAAGGTTTCATCACACTTTGGTCAGCACACATGCTGCAATCTACAAGACTCAAGTAAGCGGTTGAATATTCAGGTAATTTTTATTGATGTAATTTGTTGCATATGTGCTAGGTTCTAAAATCTGAATTCTGTTAACTCTGGTTAACAGGAAGGAGAATGTTAGTCTGAAGCTTTAGTATAAATATTTAATATTCTATTATCAGTTCAATTATTTGAAGTGCTTATCTATTTTGGCTGGAACTGCAATTTTTTAGATTGATAGGACTTAGGGGGTGGGGGACATATTTCTTCCCCCAAACCGTTTCTCTCCAAGAAAGCATTTATTATTAACTTTTGATTTGCATTCTTCTCAAGCTAGTACTTGTCTTAAAGATGGTAGAAAAGTCTGTGTCAACTATATGGACTCGCCATGAAGTAATTTTAAGTGATAGAAAAAAAAATCCAGTAGTTTTAGAGCAGTGAATATTATGCTGGCTTGGCAATTTGGTACTACATATGGCTGGTATTTTTTATATCATGTATTTTTTTCCTCAGGCAATTATATCTTGTTTATGTGGGCATACCAGTGTTTCTTATGCTTCTACTCTACAAAAACATTCTTAATGGTTTTTATTCTGTAATTATATGATCAGAAGGTTCAGGGTGACATATTAATCTCGAAAGCAGATGCAGAAGTCTTTGTACTATTGAATATTGGGACCAAACATGTAACAGGCTGTACCTTGTACAAGATGCATCCGTGCTATAAATGAATCAACTCTTCCGCGAAAAACTCTCCTTTCTTCTTCCCACCATTTTTCCTTATCCTTCTCAGTGTCCCCAATGTCTTCTCCCTCTTTCCCCATCAACAAATTCCATACCCTATTTGTCTCTGGATCAAGGACCACTCTAGGTCGTACTTTTCTTTTTTTGATCAACTCAAACCCCTCATATGGGACAACTGTTCCAGCTCCGTTGTATACAACAAGTGCATTTTGTACTCCTACTTTGGGCTTGTTGTTCCTTTCTTCGAGAGTGAGACCCCTGAATCTATTTATCATCTCCTCTACTGAATTGAGAGATTCCTGTTTTGCTGATGGCCCTGCATATTTTACTAAGAACAGTTGACTTAGTGATGATGCGCAGAACATTTTACCAAGAACAGTTGATGAAAGGGTAAAGATTTGTTAGTACCTCTTGCTTTTATGGATTTCTGTTGGTTCTCATTCACTTCTTCCTTTTCTTGCAGCATCTTTCCAGTTCTGGATGGAACTATTCTAGATAGACCAGGCTCTCTTTTCTTCTTTACTGAAACATTGGTATGGGATCTTTTGCCGGCGAATCCAAATTGAGGTGTTGGGACCTTTTCAGGGGTAGTTGGTAGAAGAAGATTCCGGTTCTTGATTATGGCTACGTTTTGGACCAAAGCTAACGCATTTGTTTTTCCTACCTTTTCCATGCCTGAATGCAGTTGGGAAAAAGTATTTTGCTTTGAAGAAGTTACACCTCTAGCCATAGAGTTAACATACCTGCCTCTTGTAAGTTCAATGAACTCACCACTTTTTCTGCTGTCTACGTTATCACTTTGAAATTGGGGGTTAGATATTCCACAATCTCTCAGTGATGTAAATTGTTCTACATTAACGCCATCTGTGCCTTTTGTTTGAAGTAGTCCTGCAGCAAGTGACATTGGGCACTGCATTCTACAAATATATGCATGGGTTTCATCCTCAACCAGCTTTCTTTTTGAAGCCTGTAGAAAAGGTGTCCCATTACCGCTTCCATTCATGTAACCTTCGTCCTCTTCAAATATGCCTTGGGATAGCAATGAACTCATTGAACCTGCTCCGCTAAATTGTCCCCACTCAATGGCATGATAGTGATCTCTCTTGGATCCCCTACCTTCATTAGAGTTGGACAAAACTGCTGCTACTGATTGAGGTTGTCTCTTGAACATGAGTTCCTTGGTCCCATCAATATTTTCCCAGTTGCTTCTCCTTTGTGAAACAAATTGAAAGGCTTGTTGTGTGGAACTGTACTCATTTCTGTAGCTTTTCCGGCTGAAATCAGCATTGTACATGTTTACGTTCCTTGTCATGGCATTTATTTTTTCCATCGTCTCCTTTGCTTGAAGTTGAGAGGCAGTAGCAGCTGTTATACTTGGCAGGGACATGTAGTCAGCTGGCATCATTTTCTTCAAGAAAACAGGGTCACTACATTCACCTTGTAGTTGCTGGTTTTCCACTGCCAATCCACTCTGTTGAGTAGTCTGTGTACTGAGTTTTGTTCTAAACCCACTGTATCCCACATCAGGAAACCCCAGGGCTGGGGATTCAAAGGACTTACTTCCCTCTAACGTCACTTGGTGATTAAATATATCAGCCGGACTTCCATTTCCAGTGTTTTCAAAGTCAAAATTCAATACTCTTCTGCAGGATCTTTGAGCAGGCACGGGACAAGGATCAGTCTCCTCCATACGATCTACTTGTTGAGTTGCTTGAGCACTAGGATCAGAGCCTCTTGTACAATCTCCTTGTAAAATCATTGATTCTTTCTGGTTGCTCTGGTGCATGTGCTTCCCTGTTGCAGTTGTCCCAGTACCACGAGCAGATTTGTTTGCTGGATCTATTGGTTCATTGGCTGATTCTTTCAGGCTTCTCTTCCATACATGCTTCCACTTCTCCGGAGTTCCAGCGGTTGAGCTTGACTCCTTTGTTGAATCTGCATGTTCAGTTGCTGATTCCGCGAGGCCTTTTTTGCGTACATACTTCCTCTTCCCATTTTGGTTGTCTTTGGAGTTAACGTTAGCAGCGGCTGACTTCGGAGTACTTTTGGGTTTTCCTTCCACAATTACCTTGGGTCTGTGTTTTCTTCGTTTAGGTGGTTTTTGCTGAGGCGTCTTATTCAGATCTATGCCTAGGGCACTTCCCCTTTCAGAGTCCTTTTCCTCCATCGGAGCAGAAATGACAGCAGATGAGGAATCAACAACGTTATTTAAGAGCTCACAGTTCTTTTGAGAAACTCCATTTTCATTACACGCAATTAAATTTTCCTGCTTTTCCTTCTCACAATTTGAACATTCATCTGATGCTGAAGTTGGTGCTGCGGAGATCTGCTTGTTCTCCATCTTCTCAGTTTGATTTAGTGCTGCTAACATGGATTGAAATGAGGTGGTGAAACAAGAAGCTGCGCCGACTTCTGTCCTTTGTGAGTTTAAATTGCACTCTGGCATTGAAGGTATCGGAAATTCATCTGTAAGAAAGTTACCTTTAATAAACAAACACATTAAAGACGAGAATGACGCAATTTGTTTGAACCAATGTTGTTGACATGTTTTCCGTCTTCCAGGGCATTGTAACGGGCTGCACTAGTTCATAAATTTGCTCAACTCTAGTAACCTTATAAATAATGAGAATCTGCAATAATTTCTGGGCTGCACTAGTTTATAAAGTTGCTCAACTCTAGTAGCTTTATATATAATGACACTCTACAATAATGAGAAATTTCTAATTTCTGAATGAAGTTCTGAAAAGTTATCCGATGCATGATAATTGTTAACTATATCCGTTACATACAAACTACTATAGTTGAAGTATAGTAAAATGAATTGCCATGACATTTACATTTACATTTCTTTGCCAAAATGTTTGTTTCTGGAAAATAAGGACATTCAAATGTAATCTTAGTTGCACAATTTTCATTCTTTAGACAGGTTTACAACTTACATTGTGGCATCTTGAGGAAGCTGTTGATATTTGTCATGAAGCCTGAACTCGAAGATTGATGTGAACTAGAATGTCTCCAGTTATCTTCTCGAGAATGCAAATTTGAAATTGGTGCTGTGTTCCCGTTGCCTATGCTTGCAGAGGCGAAACCAGTTGTGGCATTTCCGTTTGCCAGAAGATTTTCCCAGGTACGATTATTCCATTCTGTGCTTCCAGTTTGAAGAACCTGTCTATAAGAACCTGCAATGTTATTGATCATTCTGTTATTCTTTGCCAAATTTAGACTGCCAAAATGTTGATCCTGGTTGAAATTGTGAGAAACTCCATTGTAGGTTAGGATATCTTGAACATATCCCGTAGGTAATCCAGCAATTTCCTGCCAATTTTCTTTTCTAAACTGGTTCCCATGCACATTTACCTGGATTGGATTCGATCTCGGGGGGATTGGCTTTTGTGGGGTTACTGGTATCCAAGAACCCATAAACTGGAATTCTTTTCCTTGTGGAATTGAAAATTCTTCAAAATTCATCTCGGATTCTAATGCAAAATCCAGCAATCAGCTCTTTCTTCCAGTTCTTCCTATTCTTACCCCCAAAAAAAATACCTTGCTTCAAACAAGTACCAATTCCTGAAAGTTTCCCAGGAAAATTCCAATATTCTCAGGGAAAAAATCCTACCATATTGCTTCAACTTATTCTCCCAAATCACCAAATCTCCTAACTAACATCCTCGACATTAAAAAACCCCCAAGAAAAACCTGAAGAAAATTAAAAGAAAAAAAGAAAGAAAAACAAACAAACAAAAAATTCTCAGGTAGAAAATCAGTGTATCAAATCAACATCTGAGATAAAAGGCAACCATACCATTTCTGTCAACAAAAATAAGGAAAGTATGAATAAAAAATAGAAACCAGATAAAGCAAAAAAGTCATGTAATTTAATTCCTGTAAACACAACAGTTGTATTATTCAGAGAATTAAATGAAGATTTGTTAACAAAAAGATACTGCAAATATCTCCAAAGATTCGTGGTGATGGTAATTAAAGATATAACAGCTGAATCGAGTTTACACCAATGTACATGATCCAAGTTAAAACAATAAATCAATGTCAAAAAATATCATATACTATATATTTATATGTTTAGCTGATCTCACCGATTTGTTGTTCTGGGTCAGCTTTGTTTTCAGAGAATAGTCAATGCCGGAAAAATCAGTACTTTCATTGCATGTTATGAGAGAAGAAAAGAGAAAAAAACAAATTAAGTGAAAGAAAACATAATTTATAATACATGAAAATAAACTACTACTTTGGGCACTTTCTTTTGGTGCTTTAGAAAGTGGGCACTCCCTTTTGGTGTTTTAGAAAATTCCCTTTCAGTAAAGAATGAAATTAATTTGTATTTGTATTTAAATCTATCAAATTTTAAAAATAAAGAATTATTTTTTAAAATGATAAAAAAAATAAAGAACTAGTTAATTTGTAATTGTATTTAAATTTAGTTTAAAATTGTATTAAAAATTTATTAGATAATTGAAGGCTAATCTAGTCCCAGGGAAAGTTCGTTGATTTTGATGTTTTCGTGTGAGTTATATTCGCTAATAAATGGGTAGGAGGGTTGATTGTTATTAAAAAATATCAAATGAAAATGAAAAAGAGGATGAAGGTTGTTTTAGTTATTTTATATATATTACTTGTCAATAAGACTAGTATTTTAAGAGTAACACGTGGTGGTTTGGGTCCACATGACCTAAACACGTGATATAATCTCCAGTTCAACCGGCCGGTCTAATTTTTCCATGTACGGAGCTGCCACAAACAAAGGGGCCGCCCACAATATATTAATTTATAATAAAAACCATTTTAAATGATTGCATGAAGTTACGTAATATATTTTCCTTAAGCATGCAGTGACGGAGTTAAAAAATTTAAATTACTATATCAAAGTTTTAGTATATTATTAAAGATAAATTAAAGAATTAAAATTATAATATAAGAATTTTAAAATAATATATGATATTTTTTAAATGTAACAGTATTAATATTTTGATTTAATACAAAAATAAGTATCTAAATTTTATCTCGAAAAACGTTTTAGTGTCTAAAGAATTTTTCGCTAAAAATAATTGTCTAACGTTTTCTCAGTTATACTTTTAGGTCTCTGTTGTTTAATTTTTATTTTTTAATAATAAAAAATTATTTTTAATTATAAAATAAAAAATAAAAAAAATAATTTATTTAAAAAAATCTCAACTTTTTACTAAAAGTATAAAAAACCCTAAAACGGTCATCGGTCATCGACCATCTCCGGCCACCATCGTCGTCATCGAATGATTGAGTTTTAGTCGTAATTGCACGGTGGTTCAAATGGTGGCAGCAGTGTGACTTATGGATGTCGAAATAGGATGGAATCGACAAAAAATGATGATGGTGGTCTACAAATCAACAAAACTTTGAACGCTTATCTACGACAAATAGTGGCATGTTATGACGAAACGTTAATGGAGGTTTGATTGGGGGTCGACATCGGTGTCGATGATGGTCATTGTCGATCGGCCGACCGACATAGAAGAGTGGAGTGGGGGAGGGGAGAAGGCACGGGGGTTCTGCTGGGTGCGTGCATTTTTTTTTACAAAAATATATTTTTAATTTTTAAATAAAATTTCAAAATTATCAGAATGACTCGTGTCACTTAACAGTGGACACCTAAAAGTATAATGTTAGAAACATGATGCACCTATTTTTAGCGAAAAATTCTTTAGACAGTAAAATATTCTTTAGATAATAAAGTAGATTATCATACTGAGAGTGGTCGACGCGGGATATTCGCTCGCATGGCTGTTACTATTGATCTCCATCGCTCATTGATTTCGAAAATTGTTGTTAATGGATCTATCCAACGTGTTGAGTATGAGTCCCTCCCAACCATCTGCTTCTCTTGTGGCCATGGTGAAGACACCAGATTTTGTCCTATAGCCCAAGACCAAGGAACCCAACAAAAACACGTGAAGCCCAACAGACTTCTATCGCCTCTCCACCGGCGCCGCAACCCTCATATGTGAGGACTCTTAACAGCCACCGCGCGTACGCAACCATCTCCTAGAATCTCGGCCATTATCAAGATATCAGCATTAGTATTTTACTAGGATTTAAATACCCAAAAACATGTGTACATGAACACTATAAATACAGTGTAATCCCTACTGTAATTTACACACGAATTACACGCGAAAATACCATAAAGACACGAACAGAGAAAGAGTGATCCCGAAGCGTTTGTAACAAGTTCGAGAGGAAATAAAAAGAAAGGTATTATTTTTACCTTTCAGTTGTTCTTGATACATGCATGTTGCCTTGATTGCCTTTGTTCTTGATTCAAAGCCAAAAAAAGAAAAGGTCGAGGACCCGAGGAGGGGCATTTCGAAGAGATCTCTTTAGATCCACCCTTCTGAGACCGTTTTTCTTTGAAAAAGCCACCGTTTTTTTTCCTAAACATATGACCCCTGTTCGTTGTTGTTGAAGAGAGTTGGAGAGGAAAAGAGAGGTAAGGGAAGGCTCGGTTTTGAGCTGAAGAAATAAATGAGGCAAAATGAAATTAATTTTTTTTAACTTATATGCAACCCATAAAACCGACGGACCCGATCCATGGACCTACAAGGTCCACGTGTTTCCATCAAAGAAGGGGTGAATTCCCTTATTCATCCCTCCATTTTTTTTAAACTTTGATTTTACCCTTAAATCTCGTTTTCAGTTTCAATTTTCTTTCGAATTGTGCTATCAATTTTGTTTTAGTTTCAATATAACTCATATTACTATCATGTATATTTAATTATCTTTTTTTTTCTTTTTTATTTATTCTTTATTAATTTTTCAGTATTTTAATTTATATATATATATATATATATATACTTTATATCGTCACTATATTTTATCATAATATATATGTATACGGCTAGTATTTTATTTATATTATTTAAATCTATATATTGTAATTACTTTTATTTGATTGTTTTTTCTTATTATATTACATTGTACATATGTATATTTTACTTTATTATTATTATTATTATCATTACTACTATTTTCATATATGTATTTTTATTTACCTTTTTTTTGCCTTTATATTTATTTTATACTTGTATTGATTAATTAATTAATTTATTTTTTCATTGTTCTTATTTGTTTATTTATGATATATATATTATTATTTATTCTATTTTATTTTATTTGTTTTCCTATCTTAACTTCTTTTTTTCTTTCCTTATCATATTTTCATTTTTCATTTTTTTCCTAACACATTTTATCTTTTGAGGAATTTTCAATCAATCGGAGGTAAGTAATTGAGCTCGCTATTTTACCTTTTAATTTAAAATTATAATTTTCTTAATTAAAGACAATTGAAAATTATATAGTATCAAAAGGGCAGTTCAAGGGTACTAACCCTTCCTCGATTGTAACCGACTCCCGAATCCGACACCCGAATCCGACACATATTTGGTAAAAGGTAGATCAGGTAAGAAATAGGGTACCCGATCAACCCATTTATTCTAAAATAAATGATCGGTGGCGACTCCAATTCATTTAATCCAAGTCGAAGCCCAATTTCAGGTCCACCCGAAAGACGATTCCGACAGCTTGGCGACTCCACTGGGGACAGGTAAGTGAGTCAGGCTAAGGTAATTTCCAGTTGTCTTTTTAACGAAAAGGGTAAGTTTAAATTTTAAGGTAAAATTTCGATCCGTTTTATTTACTTTTAATTATATTTTCGAGTAAATAGTTGTACTAATTGTTTTCTCATGATTTCAGCATTCAAAGTTTTTTTCACTTAAGGCTCTAAACCCGAGCACCAAACCCGTTTTAAGTGGGGGTGAAAACGACGCATTCGTGTGAATTTATTCACCGCATATGCCTAGCAAATAGCCTTCGGGATTCATATATCTTATGTCTTCGTGTGAATTTATTCTCCGCATAAACATAAGGGAATGTGTTCTCTCGAGTTTAACTTAGTCCACACAAGCCTGTGATGGGTTTAGGACTAAGGGACTGGTAAGCCCAAGGGGCACCGGCAAGGAGAACTCGGGTACCGTTTTTTAGAACCTAAACCGGGAGACTATGAAAAATTAGAGCCTACCCCGAAACCACATTCCGAAACCTAAGATATTTTTACCCTAATCATGTTTCTTTTTTATTTTTTCCTTTCGTCATTTTATATTTATTTATCTATTTTTTATTTTACTAACTTTTTTGTCTTTGTGTATATTTTTAGTATTTGCATCATAATAAGAGGTCATTGATCCCTAAAAAAGAGTTTGTAATACACAAAATAATCTGAACTAATGGATAAAGGTGTTGTAATACAAGAGATTAAAAACACTGATGTACGACTATGGTCTGAGAAGACTCAAAAGGAAAAGGGAGACAGTCTTCAAGAAAATTATGTGTCATGCAAGAACTTCGAGATATCTGGGACAGTTGGAAGAATGATCAGAAACATAAGTTCAGTCAATAGTACGGTGACATTGCACTTTTGCTTCATATCAAGACTGATGAGCCCTTAATAAGAGCTTTGGTTCAATCCTAGAACCCGGGTTACAATTGTTTTACTTTTAATCAGGAGGACATAGTGCCCACTATTGAAGAGTACACTACACTGATGCACTATGAAAGTATCAGACTAGAGAGGGCCTACCTTAAACACATTAAAAGCTAGCCTTTCAAGAATGCACTAGCCAAGGTTGCCGGG